AAAATTCTCAATACCCATGTATGGATTTTGCCCACAATCTGTTTTTTTCAACACCCCCCTATATGTGGGCTTGCCAGGGTCCTATGGAATCATGGAAGCTACTGTACTTCTGGGAAAAATGAGTAAATCATCCCCTGCCCCCGCTCTCCCGCCTATTTTGAAGGGATATTACAGAGGATGAGGGCCAGGGGAGGACTTGGGGGACTAATTCTCCATACTTTCTATTAAATCTATGAATTTAGAATTTTTGACCAAAAGCCAGAGAATAACAAGTTAGATAAAAGACAATGAAAGAAATGAGAAAAATAATAAAGAAGAGAAATGAAATGTACCACCAAGCAATAATAAGAATGAAAGAGACAACAGTACAGTAGAGGACACAGGACAGTGAAAGCAGACACAGAACTGCAGAGGGTCAATAAGACCAAAATATCAGCAAGAGGGGATTAGGCTTCAATGGGTGTCTTCTCAACAAGGGACTAGTGGTGCTGTGCTGAATGAGGATAATTATTCAAGTTGAATGAAAGTTGAGTCAAAGAAGAATTAAATTTAGTTTTTTTTGGATAGAGCTGAGTCGAGTATTTTGAGTCAGAGGGAATGATATTTGTTAAGGTTGAGAATATGAGTGTGTGAGATTAATTGTGAGATTGTTGGGGTAATGAATGAAGAGAAAGGATGGGGTGAGAATGATTGATGGAGAGACAGATTTAAGTTAAACAAAGAATCTCAGGTGTCACAAGAGTGTTCCAGCAGCCAAGTTTCAACAGATATAGAGCTTGCGTCAAAGATAGAGGCTACTACACCAGGTTCAAAGACTACATGGTGTGGCCAGACAATGAAAAACAAACTACTTTAATATTCATGGTTCAGTCTAAATGATCTTGAATTGATTACAAAAATAGTAATAATAAAAGGGAAGGGATTCAGGGATGAGTAGGAAAGAGACTAAATTCCACTACTTCCCCTTGGAAAACCTGGTTTCCCCATCTTGAAAACTTATCTGACACTTGTTGTGGAAAATAATGGCAGCAGAATGGAAGTGATGTGGAATAGGAATATTTCAATAAAGAACTGGCACATAAAAAGAAAGAAGAGAAAAACAGAAAGATAACACGATTAATAAGGACTAATCTAGGCTAGCAGAATGATGGTGATGTGGAGGGATGAGGAAAGATTGCTCTTGAAACTTCTGGCCTGAGGAAGCTGCATAAACAACTGTCACAGAATATGATATGACAGAATGCAATGTGACAGAATGTGATAAGACAGAATTTGATTGGCAGACAGAATGTTATAAGAGAGTTAAAAGTTGGAAGCACACAGAGAAAAGAAAAGAATGAAACAACACCATGACTCAAAAAACCTCAGAGTTCAAGCAAAAAAAACATTGGAGTGGATCAGTTTTTCAAGAACAGGCACTGCAAAAAAAACTTGCTCAACTGCCTGCAGTTGACATGTAGAAACTCCCAGGAATCTTCTGT